GGTCTTTTCACCTGTGCCCTCTTCTTTATTGAGGGAAATGATTATGTCACTGTCTTCTTCACGTCAACTCCCAAACATTCTTCATCTCCCAAGAGTACAGTGACTTCATCTTCAACAGATCACTCTCATCCAAGAAACGAAATTGGGGTTTAGGGTTTACACAGCACTAAAGGACAATGGTTCTGTCAATATGGTGTTTACGTGAAAAAAATGTGTGCTTGAAGGACTTGCAATCGAGATACGGTAAGATTTTTCATAAAAAAAAACTTCAGTTTTTGTTTTCCTTGAATGTATTCGTGAAGATAAATCATCTTCTTTACCCATTCTATTTTTGTGTTTGCAGAGGGACATGATAACTATTTCACGTTGAAGATACATTATAGTGGTGTCTTCGCCAAGTCACCTGGAAGGAAATATGTCGATGGTATTGTATCATACGTAGATGACGTTGACACTGATTTATTTTCAGTCCATGAACTCGATGACATGGTTCGAGAATTAGGGTACAAAGGTGAACAAACTCTTTACTACCATTTTTGTATCCCTGAATTTCCCTTAGACTATGGGTTATTGCCTTTAGGTAATGACCAAGATGTTCTTAAATTGGTTTCGTATGTCCCTAAACACAGACTTGTAAAGGTCTATATTGAATTGGTCAGACTAGGGTAGCTAGTTATTTTAAGTCTCCTTCCAAAGTTGTTATTGAGGAACTGGAACCTGACAGTTTGTCACCGGAACTTAATCGAAAAAAACCTTGTAGAAGAGAAGTAGGATCGTGTAGTAAAAAGCTTGAGTTAGACCACCCTGCCAACCACGTTGTTGACCAGTCACAGGTAATAGATATGGATGAAAGTCAGGATCATTCAAAGACTATTGTTCCATATGTTATGTCTCAAGTTAGCCAACGAAGTAATGTCATTGATGTGAATGAAGGAGTGATCATGGGCCACATAGAAGAAGTGTGTAAGGGTAATTTAGGCAATCTTGCAGAGGAACCAATTTGTGAAGATATTGATGGACAACAAAGTGTAAGACTCGATGAATTTGAAGCATTTACAGATGATTATTCAACTTATGCTGGCTTTGATGCTGAGTACAATGTACCAAATGGTGAAGACAATCAAGTAGAAATGGAAATTCTAGAGGGCATGGTAAGTGATGATAGTGGAGATGCTTTCTATAGTCAGAATGGAGATGGTTCTGAATATAGTGGAGATGATTCTGATGATAGTGACTACATTGTACATGAGTCTAACTTGCAATTTGATGTGGATGTAGACATGAGTGAATTCCAAAGTGTCGTGGATGTAGATGAACATGGAATTTTAAACAAGCAAACCGAAAGTATAGGGAATGACATAGTTGATGAAGAGTTGGAAGTTATTCAAAGTGATGATTATCAGTATGCAGGATTTTATGAAGATGAAAGGACAAAAATGCTTAAGGAGTTGAGTAGGTCAACTCCATGCTCACATGGGGAGATCCATTTAAAACCATATAGGGTGGGGCAGTGTTTCAAAACAAAGAAGGAAGTTGTGGACTACATGCATTCACATGTTGTAAATACAAGGAGGTCCCTATACTTAGCAAAAAATGATAAAACCAGGATAAGGGTCAAATGTGGAGGTGTTGTGGGCCAATCTACTGAAACAGTTTAATGTGGTGGGCCATCAACTAAAAATAAGGTAAAGTGCAAGGGACAATCTACTAAAACAGTTGAATGTGGTGGGCCATCAACTAGAAGTAAGGTAAAGTGCAAGGGCAAAATTGTGATTAGTAAAAAAGGAAAATGTCCTTGGGCAGTCCAAATCTCGAGGCCAGATGAGAATAAGGATTGGTTGGTGAAAATAGTACACGATGTCCATAAATGTTTGCAGACAAGATCAGTTAAAGCTTGTACTTCCAAATATTTAGCAAACTTAATTGTTCCACAAATTCAGAGTAACCCTAAAATTCCAATCAAAACTTTACACGAGGAGTTGTGTAAGAAGTTGGAGCTTGGTATGTCAGTTCAAAAGGTTGCTAGGGCAAAGCAAATGGCTGAACGTGTGATTAGTGGGGACTACCAACTTCAATATGGGTATCTGAGGGATTATGCTTTGGAACTGCTAAACACTAATCCTGGTTCAACTGTTAGGATATATATGTATCCTGAACCATGCTTGTCGACTACTACAAGAACTTTTAGAAGAATATATGTATGTCTAGGTGCATTGAAGTTGGGATTCAAAGCTGGGTTAAGGGATTTCCTGGAAGTTGATGGTACATTCTTGAAAGGCCCATATCCTGGGCAGGTACTAACTGCTGTGGGTCTAGACTCAAATAATGGAATATACCCTGTAGCATATGCAGTGGTAGAGGCTGAAACAACTAGTTCTTGGACCTGGTTCATGGAACTGTTAGGAGAACACTTGGAATTGGGAGCAAATTCAAAATTTACCTTCATTTCTGATAGACAAAAGGTATGTTTTACCTAATTATTTCTCATGATAGTATACCTTACTTTCTATTTTTTATAAATGAAACTGACTATATTTGCATTTGTTAAGGGGATAATACCAGCAGTTGCAAAGGTATTCCCCAATGCAAAACATAGGTTTTGTTTGAGGCATATTCAGGAGAATTTGAAGAAACAATGGAAAGGAAAAGAGTTGAGTGACTTGGTTTGGGAATGTGGTAGAGCAACAACATTAAATCACTTTAAATATACAATGGATGAGTTGAAGAAAATGAATGATGAAGCTCATTCTTGGTTGTGTAAGATTCCTACAGAGACATGGTCTAAATCTCACTTCAGTAGTATGACATTAAGAAGTTGTTGAGTTTTATGTGTTAATATAAAATTTGTAATTTCTCATTTTGAATATGTTTTTCACAGGTAGGGTACACACTGATTGTTTGTTGAATAATCTTTGTGAGGTATTTAATGCTAAGATAGAGGAAGGTAGGGATAAACCAATCATCACCTGCTTAGAGTATATTAGAGAGTATCTCATGAAGAGATTGTGTGTTGTGCAAAAGGAAATAGATAAATGTCAAGGGGAACTAAGTACTACTGCAACTATAACTTTAGAGGAGATTAAGACTCAAGCAGCAAAGTATGTAGCTAAGTATAATGGGGCAGGAAAGTACCAAGTTGCAAGCACATGGCAGGATCAGTATGTGGTGAACCTAAATGAAAGAAGTTGCACTTGTAGGTTCTGGGAGATTACAGGTTTCCCATGTAGGCATGTTGTTTCTGCTATATGGAACAAAATTGAAAATGGAGAAGATGCCCCTGATGTTGAGGATTGGGTCCATCCTTGCTATAAGTTATCAACATGGAGAGCCATGTATCTGAACAAAATTGATCCAATAAATGGTCGTTCAATGTGGCCAAAAAGTGATTGTCCATTCACTTTAACTCCACAAAAACATCACACACAGGTTGTTATGTCAACTAGGCCAGATATGTACTTTTAATGCCATCATGTATGTTTATGTTTTAAATATAATAAATGCATATGTGTAGGTTGGGAGGCCAAAAAAGAAGAGAAGGAGAGGTGTTGATGAGCCCAACAGCCAAACCACTAAATTGAGCAGGAAATTTCTTGCAGTCACATGTTCAAAGTGTCATAACAAGGGGTACAATTCCAGAACATGTAAAGGGCAGGGAGGCATTGGTGAAGTTGGATCAAAGGGGAAGACACAAGGAAAAGGGAAGACACAGGCAAAGGGGAAGACACAAGGAAAGGGAAAGGGGGTTGGAAATTTTGTTAAGTAGTTAGTTGGATGTTTGGGTAGTTAGGTCTTTTGAAACTTAAATTATGGTTTGGTTGTTTAAATTATGGTAATTAGGTCTTTTGTAATGTTTGTATGGGTTAAGACCTTCCATCAGTAAGTATGTTGAAACTAAGTCTCATGTTTAAACACAAACTTGTAATGATTTTATCAACATTTTGCTTATGAATTACCCTCTCCAAATCTTTCTCAAAAAGATGCATGTATAACAATGTAGATTTGAAATACCATTCCTAACCATTTGCAAGATGCAGTTATAACAATGTATCATACGAAAATGCACATCAAAACCACTGATTTATAACAAAATACATAATCATCATTTCCATTAACTTAATGTGTTACACTTCATACAACAAAATGAAACCAAAAATACCCATTCCATCACAATCCAAAACCCCCTGAACTAGTTAGATGCGTACAAAAGAAACCAACCCCCCCCCCCCATCCTATTACCATCCAGATCCTTCAACCACCTTACTGGTTAAAATAAAACCAAAAAAAAAACATCCATGAACAGAACAACATCAGCTGGTAGTTACACAGTTCTGCACTTGCAATCGCAACCCTCTCTTCCAATCGATTCATTGATATTATCAAACCTGGAATCACCACCAATGCCCTAGCACACATCGGAGGGTCAACCCACCTTACGAACCCACATCTTGAACAATTCAAAAATTGCCTTCATGGGTTACGATCCGTCCATGAGGTCAACTTCGTTGTTTCCATTCCACATCTACAAATCGCCATCTTCGACACTCGCAGAATTCGTTTTGCAATTGGATGCACAGTAGAGTGAGAGTAGAAGAGGGTGGGTGCGAGAAGGGTTTTCAAAATATCAGACATGCATTTGGTTATAAAGAAGAGGGCACAGGTGAAAAGACCAATTTGCCCTTATATTATTTTAATGAAATAAGAGTTAACGGTGGGGTTCTAACGGTGTGAGGGATAAGGACCAACTGTCAAAAGTTTTGAAAGCACAGGGACCATCTATGAAGTTTTTAAACCATGGGGACTAAACTTCAGATTTTGGGAAACCACAGAGACCATTTATGATGTTTTTTCTATTAATTAGATGGTTTAATAGGATGACTCGTAACAAAAAGAAAATAATTTCTTTTTATTAGAATAAAAAGAAGAGATGAGATGTTAAGAAAGGGTTGATAAAAATTTTTTTTAAAAAAATAACAAAAAAGAAAAATACTAGAGACCCTCATATTGTACATAGGACACAGTCACGCCAGATCTGTTCCTGGTTCAAATCGGAAGACAAGATGGAGATCGAAAATCTAACCGCCGATGACTCTTCAGCCACAATGGCGGAAGTGCTGCCGTTGGCATCCATTTCTCAACAACCTTACGTCTCCGAACTCCTTTCCTTCACTCTCGATCGCCTGCACAAGGAACCGGAGCTTCTCCGCGTCGATGCCGAGAGAATTCGTAGGCAGATGCAGGAGGTTGCTGTCAATAACTACCGTGCATTCATTTCTGCCGCTGATGCTTTGGTTTCTACTCGCCACGAAGTCTCATCCATTGATAAACACCTCGAATCATTGGTAATTCGTTCTTCAAGAACCCCAATTCATTACTGTTGCTGGATGATGAATTTAGCGATATATTCAATTAGTTTTCATAGGTTTGCATATGGCTATATGATGGCAGTAAAACTAGAAAACTAAGAATGTCAAGTACGTAGAAAGAACTATTGCCTCTGATTAGAAAATGAATAAGGGCTCTACTTTGAGAATGGGATCAAATGAGCCACTTCCAATTTCTAATTGATTTAAACTTCTAGTTGTTTGCAAAGTAGTATGATTGCCGTATACACTGTCACAAGTCTGCAAACAGGCACTTCGGGTGTTGTTTAGTTATGCTTTGTATGGAACCATGCTATTAAGTTTTAACAATGAGAATGATTAAAATCTCATTTTTTCTGCAAGATGAAGCCTACAGAAGTAAAAATATCACAGTGTCACTTGAAAAAGGCATAGACATATGCTGATTCATAGATCTCTGACTATTCCTCTCTGCATATACATAATAGAGTCACATTCCAATTTTTAGCCTTAACCTAGTCAACACCAATGCCTCCAAACTTTTTCATAAGAATTAAGAACAACATCAACAAAGTAGGGTATATCCCCTAGTCATCCTCCATATACTATTAACCATGCATGTGAATACTACTAGATGCTTAAACTATTTGGCTTCTGAATATGAGAATATCTTTATCTGCTGTTTTTGCTAGCCTGATACAATACAAGAAGCTTAATTGTATGCTGATAATTGTTGTTTCTGCATACCTACTTTATCTGCTGTTGAAGTTAGAATGAGATCAGAATCATACTGATTCCTTTTGTGCAGATTGCAGAGGTCCCAAAGCTAACATCTGGCTGCTCTGAGTTCATAGAGTCTGCAGAAAAGATTTTGGAGCAGAGAAAGATGAACCAAACACTGCTGGCAAATCATAGTACTTTGCTTGACTTACTTGAAATTCCTCAGCTTATGGACACGTATGTATTTGACCTATCACTAGACATCACATGCTAAGATAAAAACTAGAGACTTCTATTTTTAAGGCCTGAAATTGCCATTGGATAAACCATGTATATAAATGTAGAAAATATGGTTTGATTTCCAGTTTAAAATCTTGTTCTGATTATCTATTAGATTGGTGATTTAAAGATTTAACTTTCTTTAGGTGCGTGAGGAATGGGAATTATGATGAAGCTCTAGACTTGGAAGCATATGTTAGCAAACTGTCAACAATGCACCCTAAGTAATATTTTTCTTATCCTAATTAAAAGTCCATCTGCTTAGCTCTCAAATTCATAATAGTAGCTTAATGGTTTGTGGACTTACCACTATTTTTCTTTTTTGAATTTTTTTATTATGTTCCATTAAGATTACCAGTCATTCAGGCCCTTGCTGCTGAAGTAAGACAAACTACCCAGTCTTTGCTCTCACAACTTCTCCAAAAACTAAGATCAAATATTCAGGTAAGTTTATAATGACACAACACCTGATGTTTTTATAATTACCAATTAATTAATTAAAACTGAGTCATGTATTGCAGTTACCAGAATGTCTTCGCATTATTGGATATCTACGAAGGATAGGAGTATATAGCGAGTATGAAATGCGCCTACAGGTATTTTATAATTCATTCACCAAATAATTAAACTTTTATAGTAATCCCAACTTATTTACCAATTAATGACAATATATATTTTTTTTAATGGGGCAGTTTCTAAGATGCAGAGAGTCATGGTTATGTGGGATTCTTGATGACTTAGATCAGAGAAATGCTTATGAACACTTAAAAGGAATGGTAAACTGTCACAGAATGCATCTGTTTGATGTGGTCAACCAATATCGTGCCATATTTGCTGATGACACATCAGGAAGTGAGGAGAATTATGATGGAGGACTTCTCTTCAGCTGGGCTATGCATCAGATTGCATCTCACCTTAAAACTCTCAAAATCATGCTCCCTAAGATAACTGAAGGCGGATCTTTATCCAATATAATTGGATCAGTGCATGGTAAGTTTCACTTTCACACATCTCTATTACTTTACATATATCCCTTTACCTTTCTCTATCATCAGTTCATTTATAAATCATAGAATGTGAAATTTATAATCATCCAAACTACATTTAAGTTTAACCCTCTTTATGCTTCACAGTATTGTGCCATGGGGCTTGGTTGGGTAGGGTTGGATTTTCGGGGCCTACTTCCACCTCTTTTTGAAGAGTAAAGTTTCACTTTGGACCTCCTTTTCCTTTTTTTTTTTTTTTTTTTTTTTTTTTTTTTTTTAATCTTATTATTTAAAGGTCACACATTTACCCTTCTTTTCATTTTCTTCAGGGCTGTTTTAAACCTATTTTCAAAAAACATGAACACAGCAGTGGAGAATTTTCAGGTTCAATTTCACTTTCTCACCTAACCATTGTTCCTTAATTATAATAATGGAAATATTAAAACCTACTTTTTTTTTTCCTATTGATTACAGTTGGTTTTGGATTCTCATCGATGGGTCCCACTACCATCAGTTGGCTTCTCATCCAATAGCGTTGGTGATGAAAGCCAGGAAGACATTACACCTCCTCCAAGTCTAATGGAGCATTCGCCTCTTGCTGTTTTTGTTAACGGTAAATTTGTAAATAACATGCAAAAAATAGGAATGTTGATTTGGTTATTATTATGGCATCATGGTTTCATGAGATGTTTGATGATGTATGTGGCATGACAGGTGTATCTGCTGCAATGAATGAGCTGAGGCCATGTGCACCAATAAGTTTGAAACATATTCTTGCTCAAGAACTAGTGAAAGGGCTGCGAACTGTTTCTGATTCTTTATTAAGATATAACACCACAAGGGTGCTAAGGGAGAACGAGTCTGTTCTCTTTCTTTCTCTCTGCAGAGCATTCATAGAGGTAATTTCAAATTCGGTTAAATAAAAAAATTGGATGGCATGTGATTATTGAATGTTCAGGTTGCTTATCCACATTGTGGTACATGCTTTGGACGATGTTACCCTGGAGGCGCTTCTCTCATCACGGATGGAAAGTATGTGTTGGAGGGGCTTTCTCGTCTTTTGACAACGTCATCTTTACGACACTTACCAAAGAGAGTTCAAAATAATGTTAATGCTACCGGTGAGACAAAGAACGTAGCAGAAAACGGCAATCCTCCTGCGGCAGTTGAAAATGGATCATCAGTCACAGACACAGTCTCAGCCACAACAGATAAAGAAATGGAGAATAATAATGTGGTTGAGGAAGATGACAAGAACATGGTTCAACAAACTCATGAAAAACAAAGTGAACAATAAAACCTTATGTGCACTCCGGATTCTTAAACTTTAAGATTTTTTTTTTTGAATAGCTAAATATTTGCACAAGTTATATTTTTGTATTATATTATAAGCCTATGATTATGAATGAGTATGTGCTAAATGATATACAAGGTTTTAACTTTGAACATTTTTTATGGAATTTTCATCCTAACCATTAGACTTTCATCCCAGTTATTCAAAGTATAGAGTAAAGAATTAAACTCGATATATTGTATAAATGTTGTTATTTTTTTAAGATATCACATCATATACAAGTGACAGGACCTTTAAAATTAAAAAATGTTTACTGAAGCAATGTCATCATTTTATAAATATTTTCATCGACTTCTATAATAGTCTACAATAAATATCGTTACTTAAGAGTGCAATATTACACATGTTTTGGCACTTTCCTTTCCTTTGAATCATGTATGTTTATTTAAAATTCGTGTTTTTGTTTCCTTATTTGTTTGGCAAATGAGATGAAGAAAAGAAGGGGGTCTATGTTTGGCTTATATAAGTTTTATGAAATGTTTTGCCATTTTTTATTAATTTTCTTTTTATGCTACTTGCGTGTTATGTTTGTTGTTTTTAATTCATATTACTATATTAGGTGGTTTTTGGAAAGCATCATGGATCACAACTCACAAGAGCATCCATAATTGTTTTTTTTTTCGTTAATAGTTTTTTCATAACTAGTTTTAGTTTTCTCGGTGCCAACTCCAAAATAGTCTTCAACTGCATATTTTCTTACTATAGAAAAATATGTATAGTAAACTTAAATAATATAATTTCTTATTTATAAATTTTTAATTATTCTAAAATTATAATTTTATAATATTTATATATTTTTAAATATTACCAAATTTCCCACCTACTACATTTCTAACTTTTTAAACTAAAAAAAATACATTTATGCTTGGTTGTTATAAAATCTCATATAGCAACCGAAAAAATGAATTGAAACCAATTAACTGGAATAAATAAACATTTATAACCGAACCGTTACTAAATAAGATGGTTTGGTTTCTAATTTTTGCTAACAATCATATATGGTTCGGTTTCGGTTACTCATCGAAAACTGACACACATTTAACGGACCCGAATCATTAGCTTAAATTAATATATAGAAAATTATCAATATATTATACACTTTAGTTTACTATTTTTGATATTTTTGTTCATAACACACATACACATATGATGAGAATGCTATTTGTTTTATTGTAGAAGTTAGATGCAACATTAAACATGTGCCTGCTTCATTTTTAATGTACATTTAAATTTGTGCCTTACTTGTTTTTCCTATTTTATCATATGAAACGTTTTTACTTACCATTTTTCTGATTTTGAATTGTTTTAAGATTATCTCATGGATTGAGAAAGTAGAAAGACTAAAGTTTTTATGTGCTCACACCTCCTTCACCATTCTTGACGCAAAAAAAAACCCTAACCACAAACCATGTTCGAGCTTTGAACTCCATCTATGTTGTTGAAAATCTAGGGACTCGGAGCTATTGGCAAAAAAATTAACGTTCATGAACTATATGGTAAGATACTCTTTATTTGATGTTCAAGTTTTAAACTTTGAAAAATGCTAACATTCATTTCTTTCTCTTTTGAAGATGGATACCCAAACCTGTTGTTCATTAAGCTTCATCACGGAGGGAGTTTCACAAAGTTTCCAAGTATCATGTACATTAATGGGGTTGTTAGGAACTTTGATGTGGTCAGCATTGATGAATTCTTCGTGCATGAACTAGACTTGATGATGGGAGAGTTAGGGTATGATGGTACTTAAATCATGTACTACCACTTCCATTTTTCTAATAAGGGATTCAATTTTGGACTACGAGCATTAAGTAATGATGATGATGTGTGTAATTTGTCAAATTATGTTACTCAAAAGAAAGTCATAAAAGTGTGCACAAAGCATGGACAAACCAACTTGCTTACATATTCCATGTCTCCAAAAGGTCCTAAAAGGGTTATAATAGAAGAGATTGAAAATGAGAAACCTCCTACACCACATCCCTAGTAGTTGCTCGACAAGTGGTAACCCTAATTGAGTAATTGAAACTGAAGTTGATGACGATGACTTAGGGTTGGCATTAGCCTTATACAAGTCAACAACACCTTAATTCAATAGGTCTAGAGGTTGGAAACTAATTAACAGGGGATAATCATGAGTAAAAACTTAAATTCGATTTGGTGGAAGAACTAATAGTGACAGTTAGTGAAGTTGATAAAGGTAAGGATGTTGATGTTGGATTTGGTGTTTAAGTCCATAACTATAACTGGGATGTACTTGACCCGATTGTAGCATGGTCCTTTTGGGTTGCCTTCACCAGTGCAATTTGATAGGATGGACTTTTGAGAATAAGGTTATTTATGATTTATTAATATATTACAAGTATAATATATTAATGAACATATTATTTAATTAGTATTGATCAAGAATTAATTTGGAATAATTTTGTGATCAAAAGAGACTAATTAAATATATGGGATTGATTGTGTAAATCAATGATTCTAATAGTGTGGGCTAATGATCCATGGTTATATAGGATGGGCTAAACCAATGAGATAATCCATGGATAGTCCATGGAGGTTAACCCATGGATCCAAAGTAATATGAAAGGTCATTAGGGTTTACAAAGTGTAACCCTAGCATTTGGCACACTATAAATAAACCCACCTAGAGCCAAAATCGATTGCCACAACATCTGGAGAGTGATATTGATTTTGTGCAAGTAACTTATTCTATCTCAAGCCTCCTCTTCATATGGTTTTGTGAACCATTAGAGGCATCACACTTGAGGTGCTCAAGCTTTCAAAGGTAAAGAACTACAAGTCCTTCTAAGAGGTAAGTCATCTAACTAGTTGTATTGTTCATTTGACAATTTGTATGCTAGTTAGGATATATGCTTTGGAAAATTGAAAATATGCATGTATAATTAGAGAAAACATAGATCCAAAACATTTAGGGTTGCATGTGCACCATAGGAGTGTTATAGTGCTCAAAACCCAACAGTGGTATCAGAGCCTAGGATTGTTTTCTATTATATTTGATGCTTGTAAATTTTTCAAAGCTGAAAAAGTCGATTTTCTGGCCTCTGACTGGTGAACTCGCCGAGTCCATGAACTGACTCGATGAGTCCACTCAGTAACAGAGCAACTCGACGAGTCAGTTGATGCACTCGACGAGTTGAAGGCTCTGTTTGTAGAATTTCGGGTTTCTTGGCCTAGATTGGATTGGGAACACTACCACAAACTGTTTTGGATCATTAAAATGTTTTTTCCTGATTTGGTAGTGCTTGTACTCATCCAACCATAAGATAATTGTCAAAGTTTTGAGAAAATTGTTGTTTTATGTGATAAACAAAGTTGCTTGTAAATTGTTGACTTGGAATTATCTTGTTTATGAGTTTAGTTAGATCAATCATGAATTATGTGATATTTTTGTTGTTAGAAAATTGATCTAAATGAATTTTAATGACCTCCATAACTTGTCCTCAAGTTATGGAAAATGAAAGGTCTCATCTTTAAAATTGCATTAAACTCATAAGTTATGAATACCAAGAGTTTTGACAAGTTTCAAAACTTGCCCTCAAGTTTTGGAATTTGTAAAGTCTCACTAATGTAAACTTTAATTCCAAACCCTAGAGTTTTAAAAGTTAAAATTCAACCCTTATACTTTATAATATTATAAGTTTAATAATATATATATAAAAGACAAGTCAGTCTTACCGTTAGTAGGCCTCATTCACGAAGTCGGTCTATAAGGGAGTATAAGGTTACTGCCTATAAAATGGTAGTTTAATGGGTGTCCACTCTCACCCACCGCTTCCTTGACTGGTGGAGGTCGTTAGCCGAACGGGTAGGATAGGACATTAATTCTCCCTCATTAAAAGTATAATGATAAATATAAAGTAACTAAACTTTTATTAAAATTCCCAATCTTAGTTACTTTAGGAAAATGTGAAATGGTGCTAATCCATGAAATTACACTTTGCACCTTGTTAAGTCGTTAGTGGAGCGTGTGTAGTTAACCGACACACTAATCTGAGACTGACAATGTGTAGCAAAGGGTAGCTTGATGTTAATCATAGATCAATGGAGCGTGTGTGGTTAACCCGGCACATTGATTAGGTGATTTGTAACATTGGTGTACCAAGCTAATTTGCATGGTTATTCACACCTTGTTTGTGATCCTCGGCATCCCAGTCACAAACTTGAAGGGCACAATCGAGATTTAAACATGCCATTAAAAAGTTCAATGAATCTCAAGGATCTAGGAATTTCAATCCAATTAAAACTTAATAATCTATTTCGTTTTTCATGGTGGAAATTGGTAATCGTCATTACCTACCTTCAAATATTATACAATTGGATTACGACATCCCTTTCGCAATTGTAGAATATTGTGTTGGGTCCTAGCCTTAATATCATTTGGTGTAATATTAAGGATTATCATCTAATCTAAACTTTGTCTTCTTCTTTCAGATGTCTATCCCAAACAATGCTTCCAACCCAATCCCTTCAGGCTCTTTCTCCCTCATGAACCTATGTGGGAGGGTCATTTTCGATGGCTCGAACTTCAATGACTGGATTCGAAACATCAGAATGGCTATTCGTTATGAGGACAAAGAATATGTCCTAGATAAAGAGCTTAAGGAGATTGATGTCACCACTCTACTACTACTCCGAACAAATCGTTGAACATACTACTCATGAGAGGGATGCGACAAAGGTGTCGTGTCCTAATGATTGCTACCATGACTGCTGAGTGCAGAAGTCCTATATGATACTACTATCCTTTGAAATGTATCAAGATTTGATGGAAAAATACCATCAAAGTGCTCGGCAGGAGAGGTATGAGATCATTTCCTCCATGATCACAACCAAAATGAAGGATGGTGAACCCATCACGGCCCACTTGCAGAAGATGCAAAGATTTGTGGACCGCTTGCTTAAATTGAATGTCAATTTTGATGAAGAGTTGGCCATAGATATTATTCTACACTCTTTACCTTCTTGTTATGATCATTTTCGTATGACTTATCATATGAACAAGGAGGAGGTCACTCTTAGCAAGCTTCAAGGCCTTCTAAGAACTGCAGAAAGCAACCT